CAAACCCCCCTAAGACACAGTTTCATTTAGGTTCGCTCTGGGAGGCGACATAAGTAAATCGCCTTCCAAGTAGAGCAAAATACATTAGTCTAGGATGAAAGTCAAATGGCAGAAATCACTTGCCTCGGAGAACCCTGACGCTTGTGAGAAAATTGAACCAGCTCTGACTTCAAAGCAACTAGAGCCCTTTCAGCAGCCTAGGGAGACAAATGTGCAGCCAAAAATTTTAAACCAAAGAGAAAAGGGATCAAAGAGGAATTAAAAGTGTAAGCTCTACAATCTAAGGTACCTGTGCTTTAGCATCATCCCATGTTGAACCAATTCCCTTGCCAAATACTTGTCCATCTATTTCCACCTGTATTGTTATCACCAAGGGACACAAGTAACTAAGCAAAATGTCAGCAAGCTAAAAAAAATATTAACATACATGGCAACTCCGCCATCTTAAGTGCATACTTGTTTCTTGTAACTCTGAGAATCACTACTTTGCAAACAAAATTACAAACCATATCTCCACCGACCATCTATGCATTTCTAATATCGACCTTAATATTAGCAAACAATGCCTTCCAGAAACCTCGATATCAGATTAAACGTTAAACATTATTTAACCTACAAAAGAGAGCACTGGACACAAAATTCTTCTGTTGGTGCAGGAATTTCAAGGCAACAACAATGAGGACAGTTTTCGAAGACTAGACAAGAGAGGTGAATTTATGGTAAGATACTATGTCAGAGCTTTTACAGTAGAGAGAATGTACACGAACAGTTAGCCATGGAGAAATACTGGAAAAATAGTGCACAAGGTGGAATGTTTTTCTTGGTTGGCAACGCATGGATGTTTGATTGACACAGGACAAGTTGCAAAAAAGTGGGCTAGTCAATATTCATCCTCAACAGATGTTATCTATGTGAGAAGAATAGTGGAAAAACAGTCACATTGAAGTGCGACAGTTTCAAAAGTGCCTTCAAGGTTAAATGAACAATGCCAAGACCAACCAAGAAGTTATTTGAATAGAATAACAGAAATGCTATATCTCATCAGCTCCCTTCAGGATTAGCGGGGGATCGTCTCTTGAACTTCTGTTGTACATATTCAAGCAATCTCATAGTGATGTCTCTAAATTAATAAAAATCTTTTCTAAACTGATTATTAAACAGGTAGATAAAACAGACACACACACACACAGAGCACTAAATGCCAATGATAAAAGATGACCAAGATCCAAAGCACAACATCACAATTAGTGCAAAATCATAAATAGTACATCGCCTCTAAACCATGAGTAGAAAAAATGTAAGGAAGACTTCCTAAAACTACAGCTGCGCGTGTTGTTTCAATCAAACAGGCAAAGAAGAAAGAGAAGTAAATAAGCAACCTGGGCGTATATTTCAGTTTTCCCTGGATTAGCTGAAAGTTGAGGCTGAGTTTGGAATGCCAAACCAAGTCCTTCAATCGCACACTGAAGAATCAAACTAATCAATGGCATAATCCAAGACCTCAAAGAAAAACTCACTAAAATAGCAAACTTATAAATCTTACCAGTTCTCTAAGGGAGGCAACTGAACCCACTGACTTCTTCAAGACCTCCAGCCTTGGATCCAACACTCTGGAAGGCTCTGATGCAAATGAATGTGACACACGATCCTCCTTGAGATATGATTGATACCCAAAAGGACTCATGTCGTCAACAAACCCATTATCACTTGCATTTGGAAACCTAAATCCATCCCCTGCTGTGGAACTGAGATCAGGTTTGAGACGTGACAAGTATTTGTCTGCAGATGCAATATGAAAAAAAGTAAGAAAGATCACACACATTTGGCAACATTCACATCTGACCACGATGAATATCAAAATCCCCAGATATTGCATACTGCCGATTAATTTAAAAAAAACCGCTCTGCACCAAGTGTCCCGTATAAGACTAGTAGAGATGGGTATCATCACCAAGAGCAAAGATAATTCGTTATCCCCCCTTAACCCCAATCTTCCCCAACCACAAATCTTATGGCTAATTTATATTTATACCAAAATAGGTCACATTAGATACCTATAATATCTCTCAAAACTTCCTTAACACAAGGATTCAACAGCTAACATCAACATAAAAAAGTCTGAGCAAAATGAAGTAATATGATCACCAGCTGTTCCACTAAAGAAAGAAACTTTCTTCTCTCTCTGGCCTTCTTTTGGGTAAGGGGCTGGTTAACTGTCATCACACACATCGTTCATAGAATATTCTACTGAAGCATTAGGCACACGTAACTAGAAGGATGACTTCCTGAAAGAAGGAAAAAGCAGCATCTATATACACTGCAAAACCTCCTATATTTTTTTTCTTTTTCTTTTTTTTTTTTTTTGGGTCATTCTGGTTCGGAGGGAAAGGCGATGCGAGGCTCATTTACAAGTGATAAAGGTCAACATCAGCTGAAAATAAAGCATAAATGTCAGAGCTCGCATTGGAGTAACGAACAACTTAGTAAATTAGTAGGAAAAATCGAACTTTGTGGCGCGGCGACATGAAATCCTTTTAGCATGACTCTTTTTATTCCCACCGGGGCTTTTCAAGCTTATTCTTTTTTTCTTTTTCTTTTTTGATAATGTCCACCAGGGCTCTTCATGCTTATTCTCAATGTTCAAATAATATTCCCATTAGACCAAACAAAATTCACAAAGCAAAATGACACTGTTAAGAGGCATCATTTACTGAGGAATCCTTTAGACAACTCCAAATTCAGCACAAAATGAAAAACCCCAACCCTCTCTGAAGACTGCACAGGAATACTCATACTTCCCAGCAACAATGAAATCAGTTCAGAACTTCACTCTATCACCACGTTTGCTCAAAGTACACTCCATGACCATGGAAATACATATTTGGTCAGGTAATACAAGAAGATATGATCTAATTGCAGTAAAGCCAACTTCTGCAAATGTCGAATCATTTCCTACTGTCAATTGTGACAGACAACAACACAACTTACCTGCCAGATTCATAAGAGATTCCTCAGCAGCCTGACGCTGTGCTTCCCTTCTCGTCCGGCCAATTCCTTCTCCAATTTTTTCTCCAGCAAACCACACCTACACAAGCAATAGAAACCACGATTCAATAAGATGGCTAGACCTCAGTAAAAAGAAAGCAGAAAATCAGGAAGGAAGCTCGTCTTAACAAAGCTGATGACGAGCAATTACGCGCACATCAATTGTTGACGTTCATGCTACTGAAACATGGCTTTACAAAGCTCACCAGAGACACAAGCAAGATCCATAGGAACTTGCAGATTGTGCTCCATGTTCCATTAAGTAAAAGTGAGACATAAAGCTCATTGGAATAGTGGAATGCGGATATAAATGCTCCAACATACCTCCACAGAAAACTGCAGTTCTGGACTTGAAAGCAAACCTGACTTGAATTCCACCTGCAAGTATTTATCATAAGCATTCAGAGACCTCACAAAGAGGGAGGAAACTATATTACAGTGCAGCATGATGACTGGGCATAGAGGGGAGAGTACCTTTGCTCCACACTTGAATGCAATATCCTGTAAAGCTCCAGCAGGTGTTTCTAAATATGGATCATAATGTCCAGGTTCAAGGTCAAGATCCCTGTTGCTGGAAGATGACCGACCCAAGGAGACTTCCTCACCTGTGAAACTACAATTTGTGAACACAAAATGATGTTTTGAATATAGATTTAGCTTATTTCATGACTTTCGTCCAATGACATTCACACAGTAGTAGTATCAAAAACCTGTTTGTTATCTTGTTTTTTCTTCCAAATTTCATGTGTGTACTTTATTAGAACAAAGTGCAGTTAATTAGGCTGTACGCATAATACACTTCTACTTAGATCAGCACGGATGATAATATCTCATCACCTATTCATGGGCAGAAAAACGCATGCAAATACGCACTCCTATAAACCAAATGACATTACAAGAATAATTTTTTTTTTTTAGGGGGGGGGGGGGGTAGGGGGGGGGGGTTAAACCAAAGCTCTAAGCATGAGCCCAGACTGCTTAGTTTTGTGTCTCTGGATGTTATAGGAGGTCCATACCCCACAAACTTTGTAATTTCTTGTAAAATAGCCAGTCGCTTGTCAGTTAGCTGTTTCCACGTCTGAGTTCTGAGAAGGATTTTTGAATTAAAGCATCTATTATTGTGAATTTCCAGTACTTGACAGGCTTTCGGATAGCAACTTAAAAACTAAGAAATAATATTGGTCAATCAGAAACTGTCCAAGTTAAAGTGTCAAAACAGTTGGGAAAGATTTTACAGGATGGTGATCTCAAGCATGATTCATGAGTATACCTGGCATTGGATGAAAACTAGGTTGTGACTGAGAAAATCTCATCCTGTCATCCCTAGGGATTACCTGGAAAAGGAACGCAAACAAACCACAGGTCGGCCATAAGTTCCTCATAAATGAATTTTCAAAGCTGTGGCCGTTAACAAATAGATAATTTACCTCTTTTGGTAGCCTCTGGGTTTCAAAAAGAACTCTATCAGATGGGACAGAGGTCTCTATTTTGGGAAGAAAAGGTGGATGAGGAGGCCGATTCTTGTTAATATGCATAGACTCTGAATTTAAAGGAAATTCCTTGGGAGGCAAGGCTCGATTAAGTTGTCTAGGGCTCATCTCTTCCTCCACCGGAAACCAACCGTGTGGCTGCACCCGCGGTGGTACAGACACTTGTAATGGAGTCCCCATAGGAAACTGTGGTTCACTTGATACTTGATCTCTCGTGTCTTGACCATGTTGCAATATAAGCAGTCTCCTCCTTGTATCAGGATCTAGTTCAGATTCTGGTACCTCGCCCTCTTCCCTAGCAGGAGAACTTTGCAAGCTTGTATCCTGAGGACTTAATTGAATCACTGATGCTTTAAGAACAGAAGTCACTTGAGGGAGATGCTGAGCAGGAAAAGGGACCACTGGCGCTTGAATTGTCGATTGAGAAATAGCAGGTGGGACGGGGTACTGGAGAGCTGGTGCGATTCTTGGATCCGAATTTGTCATTTGAGAAGGAACACTTGTTGAAGCCAACATTGCTTCCTAAAAGGTCAAGATAACTAAATATTACGCTACAGCATTCGACACAAAAAAAAACAGGAGTTCCACTACATGCCAGAAGAAACGATAAACTGTAGAAGCGAAAAAATAGGAAACAGAAAAAGCACATCCATCGCTTATGAACCTCATGAAAAGTATGAATACAAATTCTCAAACTGAATAAAAGCACTCAACCATTACAATGTTGTACCTTTAGTCTCCTTTCAACCTCAGTATCAGCCATGCCATCAAATCCAAGTGAATCTTTATTCCCATTTACAGCTGAAGGATCATCCTGACCAGCAAATAACAGATCCTCTCATACATAGTTCATAAACATTTAATTAAAGACGGTGCGAAATTTCATCATCCATATTGGAGATAACCATGAAAATCTAAGATCTGTTATTGGAGAGAAATGGAAATCTTTAGATTTCATTCTAACAAACCTCTGAAATCAAATAGTTGCTAACATCTGGAGCAGAAGGAACTTGCTTAATTTCATCTTCATAAGCAACTTCAGATATTCGTTGTAATAGGCCCTCATCAAAATCTCTGCACAAAGTCAGGGGAGTCAAGTGAAACTCATCTAGGTGCAACCAGATTTTTAAAAGAAAATATAACCCAGAGAGAAAACCAAATCTAAATACAATCAGATAAAATAAGTTGGACAAGAAAGGTCACTGGCACCAGCTTATCTCTAGAATCTCTTAAAATACAACAACAACAACAACACAAAAAAAAAAAAAAAAAACAGTTTAATCCCATAAGTAGGGCTAGAGTCTCTTAAAAACTTACTTGAAAAAACCACCTCTGACATTGCAGGCTACATTTCTGGCAACACAAAGGACAGGAACAGAATTGTTGCCCTACAGTCAAATTGTTCAAGTGCTTCAGAATGTTAACATAATTTAGCTCAACACCTCAACAGAACACTAGAAGAATCCAGTACATACTTCAGCTTGCGGGGAAAAATATGGAGCAAATGCAGGAACAACGTGCACTCGTGGTTGATCCTTCTCATCCCACACTTTCAAGCGATCATCAATCACCAATGCCATCTTAGGATGACAATTTCCATCTTGGAATACATTGAACAAAGATTTCCTCAAACCTACAGCATATTCATGAGCAAGTAGTGATTAGAGAAAGAGAAAGAGAGAGAAAAAGAATGATGGCCCCGGTGAAAGCTAGGTAGTTTAGAAACTTGCCAGATTTAACACAGACAATACGATCCAAGAGCTCTTTTGAGTTAATCAAGTTTGAATCTGGGTCAAGAAGCCTCCACATTTCTAAAGCATAATCTCTTTCAGCCATTGTGCATACATAAACTTCAAAGCGCTTCCGACCCCTTGCAGTCAGATAGCTTCGGAGATCCTCCCAAGCAGGTCTCAATCTCACAAGAACACTAGTATCGCGGATCTGCCATGATACAGATTTCATTATGCATCCCCCAAAAAAAGGAAGATGCTTCACACATTGAAAGAGTTTAACGCAAAAGAAGAAGGGGGAAGAGAAATAGACAGTCCCATCTCTGGACCCCTTTCATTGAAGGTAGGATTTACAACCGACTTGCATTCCTCATCTAGTAGTCTCAGCGGACCATAGATGGCACAATTAACAAAACAAGGATAAGAAGGTACTAAGATGAGGGAATACAAAATACACATACCATTGGATTTATACGAGTAAGAATAATGTTTCTATCTTGCAACCTAATCAGGGGTCTGACGATAGGTTGGTGATTATCAGACAACGCTGGGAAAACCTCAGACTGAGATTTGATCACCTTTCCGTTGTCAATAACCTGATCATTTTCGGCATATTGCTTCAAAAAAATCTTATCCTCCTGATAACGCTTGACCTCAGCCAGCATAGCAGAGGCACGCTGCGGATCTGACTCTGAATTTATTTTCCGTAGCAAGGCCTCTATTCTATCCTCAAATGAACGCATTGTGTTGGCAACTATGAGTGTCTCATCAAGATCAAATACAATGCCAAGACATCTAAGGTTTAGCATTGTTAAACAAGAATTGTAAAGCCCTGATGCAACCTTAAATCCCCAAAAGCAAGGACACTGTCCGCCAAAATTTTTAGACTGCATGGCAACTAAATGAAGCTCCTCTCTTCCAAGTGACACTACTGCAGTCTGCATAAACAGAAAGGATGCAGTAATAATTTTGATAAGCAAGCAGTTGATATTTAAATGGGAAAGAGAAAGAGCCCAAATAAATACCAGATATAAAAGGAAAGATGTCTCAGGAAATCTAAGCCACAAAAGGCACATTCACAGAAGACATGGAAGATGCATTTGTGACAACGGTTGCAGCATGTTTATCCATTTGCAACATTTACAGTAGACTTTCAACATAGACTTTCTTATGTTCAGCATATCAGAACATTACCATTCGTAGAAGAACTTCACATATTCTTCGAGATTTCGCTTAAATATAGACCCCTTTAGCAAGACCACAGCTTAGTATTTTTAAAAAAGATGAAATCAGGAACAAAAATAATCTCCCTTAGATTCAGTAGCTCTTTAATGAAACTTCAGCGTGTCCAGTAATATAAGAACAGATTGTGCCTTAATTAAAATCCTACAATAAAGCCCTATCCCATCAACCAACCCTTTTCTCAACTTCACACTGCATGACTGCAATAGACATCAAAAGGCTTAGCCTTGCACCACCCCATGTAGGTCTCAAATTTGATACAAAGCTGCAAAGGGAGTTCTGCAAAAGTCCAAATTTCAAGAAAAACTGCAAAAGGGTACATGCCAAATTAGCATCTCCCTCGCAACAATTTTGGTCATAGTCCATATTATCCATAGTCCAGTTCTTACAATTAGGATTTTGATTTTTTAATATGAATGATCAAGAATTTAATTCCTCATTTTAAAATTTTGTTCTAGGATTTTTTTTTAAACCATAATTAGTCAGTCTTGGAAATGATTCAAGTTCAATCAGGTTTTTTTTTTCCTTTTTAACCATCTCAAGTTCAAGTTTTCAAGTTGAATTTGGTACACTGGCAATCAGCAATGGGTTTATACCTTGTTATCTCTGAGACAAGTGGAGTGCAAAAGAAAGAGCGGCGAGTCTGGGGACAGCGACTTTGATTTTGTTGGTTCCAATTTGAAGCTTATTCCATTTCCGGTAGTAGATGATGAAGTAATTGTGTGTAGTACTGCCAGTGGTGGACACCGCTCACTTGGTGGCGAATAGTGAGAGATCCTTAATACCTTCTCTCCCCATACGACACCGTTTTCACCACCATACAACAATTCCAGTTCTCCCACCACTCTTTCTCCTTCATACAATACCACCACCGATTTATACATTTTTTTTTCCTTTTTTTCTCTGGAATCACAAAAAATAAAAATAAAAATCAATTTATATCCTTTCAGTTTCTCATCATCTTCGATAGATCTTTGAAATTATGCTTTAAATCCAAGAAAAAAAAGTCAAATCAACTAATCAAACGTCATAATTTTTCAAGTTTCAGTCAGACTATACCAGATTTACCCAAAGAATACCAAAGAAAGTGAATTTTAGGGTTTTTATAGAAGATGATGACGATAACGATGGTGATGAAGAAGAATTAAAATCCAGAATTTTTTGTTGTCGTTGTTGTTTTCAGTATAGAGAATTAAGAGAAGATTAAAGCTAGGGTTTAGATGATTTCTTGATAGTAGTTGTAGTTGTAGTACGGCGATGAAGATGACGATGCGGTGGCTCTCAATTGTTGTGAAACCCTAGATCCACAGAGAGTGAAAGGTCAATTTTGTACACGCTCTCTCTCCTCTCTCTCTCTTCCTCTTCCACATGTAGATGTCTATGTTGTTGATATAAATAGATAAAAACAAGAAGAAAAAACGAAATTCGGTGTTAATTAGATATTCATTCTTGAATTCGGATAAGGAAAATTACCTAAGATCCTTTGTTGAATAAAAATTACTCCCTAAATTTACAAGCGAGTGGGAATAGGATTCTTTTTTACTATAGCAGATAAGCACTTCGGTTACGTCACGTATATAAGGTGGAAAAAGAAGTACACTAATTAAAACAAAACGCACCCATCGGTACCTGAACCCATTTATAGGAAAAAGTAAATAAGGTATCTTTCCGTAGATTGCTTGGTATGTATTTGTTGTATTTTAGATATTCCAAGTGTCAAATCTCTTTTAATATGCTTTAGTTGGTACTTGTTGTTCACATTAAATGTAAATAAATACTACTTACTTCAGTCCATTTTAACTGATTTTTTTTGTTATTTTTACACATATTAAGGTATGTTTGGAAAGCCACCAGGTAATTGGAATTGGTGTAATTACTAGGATAGTAATTACACAGCCTAGTAATTACACAGTGATTTAATTACAATGACATGTTTGTTTGTCATAGTGTAATTACAGTGTAATCACAAGTTTACTGTTTGGTTGCACAAGTGTAATTACACAGTTAGATTAAATTTTAAAAGAAGTAATTATCAAAGCTTACAAATTAATATAATAAAGCCTATAAATTTTTACAAGTATAAATGATATTATATTTGCTATTTAAGATGTATAATTTTTCGTGAATATACATTAATTAGTAATCGTATAATTATAACTAATATTGTAAAAATAATTTATATATATTTTTTAAATTAATAATATTTAGTTTAGATACTTACAAAACTATAAACATATGTTTTGTAAGAACATTATTGAATTCATGTTTGATAAAATAAATTAATATATATAAATATAATGTCATAGCATTATTCAAATGTTTGACAAAACTAATCTATCAATTATAACTAAAAAAATGAACAATATGCAATGTGAGCCAATAATACTAAAACAAGTAAATTGGAACCATGAATATAGCACAATTTTAAAACGCACAAAAAAAAAAGTTTAACATATGTCAAATTCCAACATAATAATAGTAAGTTTCACTACAACTTAAGATTAGGAAACATGATAAGTTTATAATCATATTTAATAAATTAATTTTACTTTAATTGCATCACTCACTATATGCCAAGTTTGTTAATGACTCATCATTTCTAATATTAGGAGGTGTAGTTTCAAAAAATAGAATAACAAAATAAATAAAAATAAAATATAAGCAATTACATGAATCACAAGAAGTAAAGATGGAGAAATAACAGATAAATAATGTACAAAGAAAAATATATTTCAAATTTCAAAAAAAAATTAAAAGTAAAAATAAAATTAAAAAAATAGAAATGAAAGTTATAAAGAAATAAAAAGTAACCTTGTAATTACACAGTGTAATTACCACCAATTCTCACCTCCTCCTTGAGAATTGGAGAGTGTAATTACATCCCTCCAATTACACCCAATTACATGCTGACCAAGTAATTACTTGGCCAAACAAACATGCCAAACTGTGTAATTACACCCAATTACACCCAAATCCAATTCCAAGGTGGCTTTCCAAATTGGCATTAATTAATAATATAATTGATCATATTAACCTTAGTTTGTTCATTAAAAATAGTTGGAAAAATTAAATATTATGGACCACCAAAAAAGATCAAAAAATCATTTAAAATGGAACGAAGAGAGTACCATATAAGTAGTGGAACATTTCTCAAATATTTTGTAATATTGAACTCCTTGTCATTTGAATCCACGTTCTTAGAAAAAATGGTTGAATTGGTAGTTGTTGTTCTCATTAAATTTAAATAAATATTTAAGTAGCGTAACATTTCTCAAATATTTTGTAACATTGAACTCCTTGTCATTTGAATCCACATTCTTAGAAAAATTGTTGAATTTTTTTCGAAAAACTACTAAGTATAGTTGCTCCAAAAAATAATAACCGACAAAATATATATTTTTGTATATTAATGTATAATATCTATATATTTTTGTAAATTTAGCTAGCGAATATAATTATTTCTGGATGAATGGTCAAATGTGTAACTTGCCCATTTTTTGTTGGCCGGTCAATTTTTTCTAAAACTACTTTTTCTAATATATTATTTCACTTTTCAAGTTATTCAAACCTAATTTTATCTCATTCCAACCAAAAAAAAAAAGGTTTAATTTATCATCAAGCATAAATTTAATATTTCACTTAAATTTGGGCTGAAATTAATACTTACCATTACCATGAAGAAATATCATGATTCCATCCAATAGTCCATAAATATAGAGAAATGTATCTACGTAATACATGAAGCTAAAGTTAGAAGTGCAATAAAATATTACTTTTTTGTGATAAATATCTGGCTTATTGCCAAAAATAATATACAGTGCAATCTCTCTATAACAGTTTTATTTGTTTTTAAAAAAAATTGGATGTTAGAGCGAAGTGTTGTTATATAGAACATATATTATAACATAGCATGAAAATCGGTTCCATAAAAATTTAATTTTTGTAGTGAATGGTTGTTATATAACGATACTGTTATAGAGAAGTTTGGCTGTATTTGGCTTACTGGTAAAGGGATGGTACATGGAACGTGTTTACCTCGAAAATACGAGTAACAATTAAATTTGATTTGTAGTTTTAAAGATATGTGGTTAAGTTCAATACCAATTAATATTCAAGAAATATAGCGTGTAGATGAAAGAAATGGATGAAACAAACCAGTGTTACTTAAGCGGTTGACCTCGAGCTTAGTGACCTCGAGATGGACCAAGAATAATAAAGTAAGAACAATAAAGTAAAAAGACAGCTCTGATGAACAATAAGCGAGAAAAGTAGGATAGTATATTCTTTGTCAATGATCAGATTATCTTACAAATGATTGGGGGTGCCCTTTATATAATAAGGAAACCCTAAATAAAGTACATTTCTATTTACAGTAAGGAATATTATTGGTACAGCTGTCTAACCGCCTAGTACGGAATCGTACAATCTTATTCCGGGGTTTGCGCCATGATCTTGGGGACGTGGCAGGAATCTTGCTCATTCCGTTACAAATTCGTAACGGCATTATTCGGGGTCAAACATACTCGACTTTGATATTCTTCGTACTCCTATCTTCGGGCATTGCATTCTGTCTTCGAGCTCGAGTCTGATCCATTGGGCTCGAACTCGACCTTGTCTGAACTCGGGCTTGAGGCGACCCCTCGAGCCTATAGATCGAAAGCATACGATCTTAACCGTATACAGATAGTCCCCGCATTTCTTAGAGTAGGTCGATAAGAAACAATTTGATCTTTGATGCTCCGATGCCTCGATCCCGATGTCAGTCTCGTGATGTCAGCGACTGAAGTGACTGAAAGGTCACTTTCGTGCAGTTCCCAAAATCATTAATTAGAGGCAGTTGACGGTCGGCTACTTGGCTTTCCCAATACTCTTAAGTGACTTCTATAAATAAGCCAACTTCACAATTTTTACAAACTTTATTTCTCTAATCATTTTCAAAATTTCATTAGCTCTTTCAACTTCTCTAAGTTCATCCTTCTCTTTAAGCTGACCTTACTTCATCATCAACCCTTCCTCTTTGAATATCCACACCATAATGGTCAAAATATCTAACTCTGTTCCCCAAAAAGAAAAAGCCTCTTCATTATCGCGGCCGGCCAGAAGTAAAACGGTGGTGCCACCTCGTATCGAGGACTGTATTCCCCCGTCGTGCGAAACAACCTCCGATTTCAAAATCAAGAAACCTGTATCGACACCAGGCGATGTGAGCCCATTTCTCGATACATTTGTTTGATAACCAAAGATGAGCTCCAGCAGGTGAAAAAGGACGGCAACTGGGAGAACAAAGATGTAGTGATCCCTTCCCTTGAAGAGGACATCACTACTCACAAAGCAGGGTACTTAAGCGTGTACACCTACCCATTCATGTTGGGCCTTGCCGATCCAGCTCTGGGTCCCATTGATCCAGTCATTCTTGACTTGTGCCAACAATACCAAGTGACGCTTGGCCAGATATATCCTTCATTATGGCGCATCGTCAACCTGATCAGATTCTTCTCGAAATAGGTCGAGTGAATGCCCTTTACCCTCGATCATCTGATCAGGTTATATAGTCCTCGTCTCCATCGAGGTGGCCTAATAAAGCTGCAATGCCGATCCACGAAATCTCTCTTCTCCAGCATCGATGAAGACAAAGATCGAGGGTGGATGAGCCGGTTTGTCCGAGTCAGGACATTCGACCTAATACCTGCTGAGAGTATGTCATTCCCCGAATAATGGAATATGAAGCGTAAGTATACGTTTGTCGATAATGACTTTATGCCCTGTTTTTCCTTTTCTTTCTCGACTTCATCTTTTTTCTCGGTCTAACCCCTTTCCGATGGTGTAGTTGTTTGGTTTCCTGGTGCGGTCCCAAACCTCGAAGGTTGGGTCCGGAAGCTGGTCTCTACTTCTTCATACGCGGAGCCCAGCTGGCGTGACTTGGCCAAGGGTTGCTAGGAAACTAAAAACCATGGTGAGTCCTCTTGTTTGCTTATTTGTGTTTCTTAGAGAAATACTTACTTTGTCTTTATGCAGGCCTCGGAGATGTCGTTGCTATGCGGCCGCCCCCGCCTAGTGAAGAAGAGATCCCAAATCTTTCAAAGAAAGGAAAAGAAAGAGGGGGTCACCTGCAAATTCTCCGAAGGCGAAGAAAAGCAAGGCTCGAAAGCCTAAGGCCGATACTGCGGCCTTATCTCCAGGAACGGCCCAACACCTTAGGGACAAGGAGGAAGAGGGGGAGGACAACGATTGCATGTTGGTAGTTCGAGAAAGAGGAAGCGCTGACGCTTCGAAGTCTGCCGAACCGATGGTGGCTGATGCAGTTCATTCTAGAACTGAAGAGATCTCCGAGGGGAGTTCGAACAAAGTCCCCGAGCCATCGGACAACAAAAGAGAACCTC